GGTTCCAGAATTTTAAAAAATTATAGAGGAAAAGCTCAGGATGGAAAAATCCTACCCATTTGATTCATTCTCACCAGGTATGTGTTCCTGGTTCGTGTTTTTACCCTCTTGTTTGTTCACAGATGTCCCTTTGATCTTGCCATCCCTTCAAACCAGGGTGTGCGGGTCCTCCCTCCGCAGCCAGACTTCCCGCAGGGACCCCAGCACTTGCTCCCTGCGCGCCTGACCACCCCCCTTTGAGCTGTAGACCAAAGCTGTCTCTCGGCACCTCGTGGCCCGCGCACTGATGCTGATCTTGCCACCTCCACACTCTCCTTTCCTTGGCTCGGGGACTCCTCACCTCTCTGACCTTACCCTGACAGCTCCTCGCTGCACATTCTCCCTTTCCCCATTCCTTACACACCAATACTGCGTCCTCAAAATTGTCATTCATGTTCTTCTCCTCACTCCCTACACTCACACGCATCTTCAGTAGTCCTATGTGAATGATACCCCAAGCCCCATTTCCCTGAGCTTTAATATTGTTGGTCTATTGTCTGTCTCTGTGGTCTATCTTCATCTTCTGCTAATGCCACTAACTCAGTTCACGATGGACTGAATCAGCCATCTTCTGTGATATTTTCCCCACCACACCCCTATTCTCTGTGTTTTTAGAAGGTGGCATTCTTCTTACAGTGGTTCAAGATTGAAAATCCAGCTTCACCTCTGACCCTACCTCTGCAGCCCGTTTCCCTGATGGCCACTTGTAGGTCTGTCAGTACTGTCCTATTTTCTTTTCTCTGCTGCCTGGACTAGGTTTCTGGAACAGCTTCCAGATGATTGCATTGCCCGGCCTAACACTCTTCTTTACCACCGTGGCCTGGTCTGCAGTCATTCTGGTCCCCATATGAAGCACAAGCTAACCACACAAGAACCAGCGTTCACTCCCGAACACGTGTACCTCTTCAGGCCTTTTCTCATTTGGTTTCTCTTTGGAATGCCCTTCCTCCCGTTCCTCCTGTGTCCCAATGTGTCTGGCGTGACTATTGTTCATCCTTCAAAGTCCTTGGGCACTCAATGCCAGTCAGTAAGAGAAATAGAAACTTCGTGTCCAGAGACGTAAGATTATGGAGGCTGGGGGAAAATACGGTTTCAAAAAGGGGATAATCAAAGGACAATGTTGTCAAGGGTAATTAACAAGGACTCAGAGAAGTCCACTGACGACACTTCTCAAAAGAGCTGTCTACACTCAGGGTTTCCAATGCTCCCCCCTCCCGTCACCCAGTCAGGCTTTTGCCTGCATCACTCCGTGGAGTTGCTCATCATCAATGGCCTCCACACCGTGAAACGCCGTTCCTGCTCCTTCTCATTTCAAGTGAGGTGCCACCAAGCCGAGCACCTCGGGGTCACCCGCAGCACCTCTCCCTCAATCCCAATCCTCCAGGGTACGCTGTCCTTCACGGCATGCGCAGCCTCGACCACTCCTCATCTCTTCCGCAGCTGCCATGGTGGCACACCACTTCCATCTTTCCCTGGATGACTGCACAGCCTCTGGGCTGACCCCACTTCTTCTCTCCTGCTCTCCTCTCGCCTCAGTCTGTTCTCAGTGCAGCAGTCAGAATGAGTCTGTTGAAACCCACGTCAGACCATGTCACCCCTCTGATCCCAGACCCGTCTCACTCAGTGTTGAAGTGACTGTCTTCGCCAGGGCTGACGGCCCAATATCAGATCTGATCTTCTGGTCCCCCGCTCCCGGCTCTTTTTATTCTAGCCACTCTGGGCTCCCTGACCTCTCTTGAACAAACACAGCCTGTTCTTTTTGCCTGGAGAGCTCACCTTCTTCACGTCTTTGCTCAAGGAAGCCTACCTTAAACATCTCCCTTACTTTTCTCTATTTTTCTTTTCCCTATACTTGTCACTTTCTAATACATTATATTATTTATTTGTCATGTTTATCGTCTGTCTTTCTCAGTGTTCACTGATATATCCCAAGGTTAGCGTTCACTGATGTATCTCAAGCACCTACAATAGTGCTTGGCATATAATAGATACTAAATAAATATCGGCTGAATGAAATGAAGAAGCAACTTTTGAGAATAGAAGTTCTGGGAAGTGGTGATGACCTAACTAGTTTACATGGCTCCAGCAGCAAATGCATGTGAAGAAATGGAACCATAAATGTAAAAGAGTTTGGAATTTATCCAAGCGTTTCTATTCCTCTGTGTAGTCTCTCCAAAACATGAAAATACACCTATCTGAATACCTTTATTTTCTTATTTAAAATAAGACACTATGTAGGATACAACATGGACATTTTAAGCACCAATAAATAATTACCATGACATCTTTAAACAGTTATAAATACCGACCATTCTTAAGTGTCAGTAAATACAATATATTGTCAATTCCAGCATTAACACCAGATGGGATGTGCAATTTGAAAAAGAGAGCAAAAACTGGATAGTGAACTGGTTAATAATCATTGACAAACCCATATATTTTACCCATTTGATATGGTAAGCAACAAATACAAAGAAAATAATATATAATGTGTAATATAATTTTAGTAATATATAAAAAAATATAAATAGAAAAATTCAAATATAGTAAGCAAAAAATACTGTGAAATTGAAAATACAAATAGCACATGAAAAACATGTTTACATTTCTATAAAGATGATTCTTAACATAAATTCTGGCATATTGCCATAGGTTTTTAAATGAAATGAAACCTAATATTTTAAGGTTCTGCATATAGGCAAACATAAAATTATTTATGGTTTAAAACTGTAATGGTTCTAAAACTAACATACAATTGGAATATGAAGAATGATTTGAGGGCAGGGTGGGGTGGTGTCCACAATGCATATAAATCAACAAAAACTTAAACAAGGAAGTGCAATTTAGTTTTCCCTATTAGATTTGGAATTATCCTGGCTTTCAAAATTATAATCTTTAAAATGAACCAAAATTTTCATTAATTTTTTCAGTGAGTCTGAGCACAGCAATTTGGCCTGGAACCTCTTCTCTGAACATGAAATAGTAAATAATCAATCTGTTCATGTATCTCTATAGTAAATCATATATATACACATATATATAATATGTACATACGTATATGTACATATATATCAAATATACACGTTACATATATTTTGTGTGTTAAGTTTTCATTAAGATAAATATTGTAAGTAGAAAAAGAAACCTACTTTACACCAGAAAATAGACTGATCCTAACATAAACAGGCTTTGCCATGTAGATTAACATTTATCTAAATGAAATACCATCCTATAAATTAGCTTTAGACACAATGGAGTAGAGGAGGAGCTAGCAAGGTTATTTATATAAAGAGTTGGAAGATACTACACACTAAGCAGTGGATTTATCTTTTTAATTATTTTGCATAGTCTTATAATAAAGTAAATCTTTTATTACCTAAAGCATGAGGACAGTAGCAGGAAGGCAGCTAGGAATGCATGGAGCAGAGGGAAAGACTGGTTTCAAGGAAGTACATGTTGTAATGATTGAGTGACCAAATATATATCCTATATTCACAGAATATGTTAATGAAAATATTCATAGTATTTTCATTAACAAATATTGTCACCACAGCCTCACAAACACAATGACATGCCATTTTTTTTTTTATCGCAGTCTACTAGTTATCTATCATACCAGTTTTAGAATGCACAAGACCCACTCAAAATGGGCTTTAAACCAGCTGTGTTTCCCTCTGAAAATGACAAAATATTTCAAAATAGAAATACTCTGGGAAAAAGGAAACACTTACAGTAAATTAATCAACCAGGTACAACTTCAAGAGCAAGAATTGTATTTACAGTTTTGAAGCAGAGTTTGTATTCACTTTTGCCTTTAATTGCAATGATTTAGTGAAGTAGCAAAAACAGTGAATCACATTAAAAAAAATCAAGGTTCAACTTACACTCGGCTCTCTGCTGGGTTTTTAAAAATTTAATGAAGAATTATTTCAGTAGAATATTAATGAGGATTTTGTATTTCTTTTAAGTATCTTACACAACAATTATATCACATTTTGCAAATTAAACATCTAAAATGTTTGAAAGCCAGAATAATACTAATTAGGTGAGAAACTCTATTTCTGTTTCTCCCTTTTATAAGCTCAATAATTTATTTGTAATATAGACCCAAACGTCATCGTTGCATTTGCTTCACGGCACATGCACTTCTCCGTCTTTGCTAGGGACCCAGAATGGGCTGGCTAGAGGCTAGACTGCATAGCCAATGGCAGTTTTGTTATTTCACTAGCACAGTGCTTGGTCCACTGCCTGGCACAGAGCACATACGTATGCTGAACAAATAAATCTTCACGCCATTATTTTGGTTGTATGACTGAAGGCTCTAGCTGTTCTGTAAAATAGGTTTTATGTTTACTGAGGGCTTTCTGTCAGTTTACATGTTAAAGTAAAATTTAGTGAGTTAGTAAAGATACTGTAGATAGGCCAAAAATGTAATATATACATACACATATTCTTTTTTTCTTTAAATACGCTATCCCTCGTCTGGTAGAGAGCTATAGTAAAGTGTTTATGGGTGAACTGTCTGATGTACTGAATTTGTCTTAAATAGTGTAGTAAAAAAATGGATCTGTGAGAAATAAGTGAAATAGAGTGGTAAAATATTAATTGTTAAAGCTGGGTGATGGCTACTTAGAGGATCTTTACACTATTGTCTATAGGTTGTAAAGCTTGAAATCTTCAATAATTAAAATAATATATTCAAAGAAATCTCCATAAAAACAGGGCAAAATAAAGGTATTTTCAACTAACAAAACTACTATACACCTGGATATTTTAAAAATATCTGTTCAAAACCATTTGTAAAATATTGTTGCCACAGTGAAAAGTTGGGAACAAAACTTAAGTGTCAATCAGTAGTGACAGTTAATATAATATACTCACAAGCCATGGAATAAATACTATGCACCCATGAAAATAACAATTGTGAAGTGATAAAGGAAGTTCCCCAGCAGTGTATGGAGCCTGGTTCCATGCTCATAGGAGTGTGTGAATGTCCATCCATATTCAGAGTGGTTATCTCTGCAAAGAGGAATTACAGGTATTTTGTTTTTGTTCTTTTACTTTTCTCATAACTGTTTTGTAATTACTCAAAGTTTTTACAGGGGTATATACTAACTTTACATTTCGCAGAAATTATTTTCAATAAAGATAGCCGTAATTTTTCTCATTATGCTATTCTTTCTAGGTGATGGAATGATTTTTTTAATTTAAAAATTATCTTAGATCTTAAGTAATTCAAAGTGGGAAAGAGTTATACTTCTAAAAAATTATGAAATCTGGAATAGATTTTTAAAAATGAAAATGAAAAATTTTAAGGCATTCTAGCACACACTTTTTTCCTTAACCACCTACTGAGTGCATTAAAATATAAGTCAAAAACTACATGAAATACAAGATAATTTTAAAAAATAGGAACAGAATTAAGTACCTTTTGGTTAATTGAAATCAGGCTGAAATTCTATTCCAGAAAGAAACAGCATTCATAAGAGAAAAGAAGAAAATGTTTTCTAGTTCACAGGAATTTGAAAATATTCCAGTAATTCTATGCAAAAAAAAGTATTTGTGGATATTTTAGTAAAATGTTTGTTCTCAGAATAAAACAGATGGCAGAATGGAATAAAATGCAATTTCCAAATGCATGGTTTGTGAATTCAGTGCCTTGGACTCAGCATTATCAGCTAAATCTCAAGTTACACTTTAGCGGGCACTGCAATTTTGTGGAGTAAATTTTAACTTGATTAACCTTTGAAACATCATATAAGGTTAATTATCTTGGGTAAAAGTCCCAAAGGTACACGTTCTAGTGGTTGCGGAATCTTATCTCTTTAGGTGGTCTGTTACCGTTATGCCCTCTTTTTAGTCTGCAAAGACCACAGAGCAGTGTGGGAGACAGCCAGCTGTGGGACCTTTCTCCATCTCATCCCTCTGTGGGGGCCTTTACTATACGCAACAGATTCTGTGTACAGTCCTTATTCAAGGGCTGCATTGTTCCCAATATTTCCTATTTCCTTGCTGATTATAAGGCTTCAGGGAATTTAAAAGCAGCTCCTTCTTACCAAGAGGTTGGGGATCCCTATACATGGCAATACCAATTCAGATAATGTAACAAAAAATAAATCAAAATATATCACCTAAGTTACCTGGTGGACATTTCCTTCCTTCACATCCATGTTCTAAGCTTTAGGGATGAGAGATTTCTGAGCTTTTGATTTGGCCACATCATGTACCTGTAATCAGATTAAAGAATCACACTTGGTTAAAATTAGCTGTATATACTTGCAGTTGTGTTAGGGTAGATACTCTGTTTCTCTTTATGTTTCTAGATGATCTGGGGAAAATCATTTAAATCTTTATTTAGGGGTTTGAAAGGCCTACCATATGATAAATACCCCAGATTTTTTTACCTTGTTCCTAGAGAAACTGGACTGTCCATAATGGATAGTATTGGAATGAGGTCTCTTTGAAGTTTTTGAAGATTCCTGACACAATTTTCTTTTAGACCTGTGGGCTGTTTTGCTTACCAATTTGTGGTCATTTATATCAACTTTCATAGTTTGATTTATTGATTGTTGCTGTAGTAGTTGGGGATCTTCCGTTTCTGTGTCTGATTCAAAAATGTGCGGTTGTTTTTTTATTTTTAGTGACTTGTGGCCTTTTCCTAAAATTTGTGTTATATATTTGCTTGTTAAATGTTCTTTTTCATTCACTTGGAAGTCAACAGCACTGTTTGTTACACCTAAACTGTTATTTGACATCTGAAATGCTAAACTATTAAACAGGTGTTTACTTTCATTTAAACTCACAGTTGATGATTCTCCATTAGAAGGGGGATATTTTATCATATTTTCACAGGACCCAGTGTTTTTTTCTTGTAGTCTAGAAGTCTTCCGATTTAAATTTCTAGCATTCATCTGAATGGTATGATTAAGTCTTTTGCTAATAGCTGGATCTAAATTCAGTTTGTCATTTTGCATCATGCTAGTTTTAAGTGAAAACAATTTAGATTCTGTAACAACATGCTGTTTTCTTTTCAGGTTGCCAGGTTCTAAGATATTTTTGTTCATTTGCAATGACTGATTTTTGAAAACTGGTATGAATTGAGGAGCAATATTATTCTGGGAACTAAAATTTGTGCTTTGAACTTGAATCTTTTCTCTGTTGGGCTCTGGTACTTCCAAATGTACTTGGGGTGCCTTGTCAGACACGGATTTCTTTCTGTTCTGGACAGCTTCTTGCTGGAGGTGCAGAGTTGAGGACACCCAGGGCTTCTTCAGATGGCTGCCTGAATGCTCCACCTTGTGGTCCATGACTACTGAACACGGTGGAAGACTCTCAGCCAGAGCAGGTCGTGTGAAAGGCGCCTGAGTCAGAGGGAACTTGAACATTTGTTTAGTGGTCAGATTAGGTGCCTTGACTTTGTTTTCCTGAAAGGATAGAGATTAGGAAATTTTTAAAATGTAAAAATGTTCTTAATGGAAAAGAAATAACATATAAAATATCAAAATAAGAGTATAAAGTAACACTACTATAAAACAGAAAAAAAAACCAAATAAAACCAATGAGCTTTCTTGAGGAAACAAGTACGCTTCTATGGTTTGCATCCTTTTTAAGATACCAACCTTTCAAGATATTTTAGATGAAGACATGTTCTACATTCTATATAAATCAACTATGAAAACTACAATTAGCTACCCATCGTCCTCCAAATAGGTCCGTGCTGCTCTCGTTCAGAATGTCTTTCCCTCTTCTTTACATTCTTCCCCCCTCAACTTCCTAAGAATATGCTATCAGTATTTGTCACCAAAAAAATAGTAGTAAAAGGTGGTGTTCTTATCTTTCAGCATGCGTGTTCCATCACCTTATGTAGATACTAGATTCTTTGAGGGTAGGAACCATGATGTATTTATTCTCATATACTTGACATTTTTAAAAAAAGATTTATTTTAGAGAAAGCTCACTAGTGCACAAGAAGGGGCAGGGGCAGAGGGAGAAGGAGAGGCTTCCAAGCATACTCTCTGCTGCCCAAGGTAGGGCTCTATCTCACGACCCTAAGACCATGACCTGAGCTGAAACCAAGAGTTGGATGCTCAATCTACTGAGCCACCCAGGTGCCCCTATATTTCAGATTCTTAAATCATTCACAGTTACTACAAAATTCTTGTTCTAAGAAATTAAATGAATGGAAGAGGTGGTTGCATCTATAGCAGGCCTTTAAGAATAAGTAGGATTTTGACTATAGGACATTGGCTGTTTGTGTCTTGATGATCTTGTATTCTCGTTGCCTAAAAGAGTGCTGGTGCCTGGTAGCAATTCAACAAGAATCTGTCAGACTGACAAAGAGTCAGACAGCTCAAAGACAGCCAAGTGTTTAGTCTTTTTAAAAAATTGTGGTAATATAGATAAAACATAAAGTTACCATTTTGACCATTTTTCAGTATACAGTTCAGTGACATTGAGTACATTCCTTACTGCACTCCTGTTGTATAACCATCACCATTATCATTTCCACCACCTTTTCTTCATTCCAAACAGAAACTCAGTAGTCTTCAACAACAATTCCATTTTTCTCTCCTTGCAGCCCCCGGGAACCTCTATGCTACTCTCTAGGTCTATGAATTTGCCCTCACTAGGTATCTTGTATAAGTGGAATTATACAATATTTGTCTTTTTGTGTCTGGCTTATTTCACTCAACATGTTTTCAAGGTTCATCCATGTTGTAGCAGGGGTCAAAATTTCCTTTCTTTCTATGCCTGAATAATATTACACTATATAGAAATCCCATATTTTGTTGATCCATTCACCTATTGATGGGAAGTGTTTATAGTCTTTTAAAATACATATCTATTGAGTCCTAGAGTCCATAAAAGTGACATGTGACAATAATCTGAAACATGGGATGGGGAGTTCTTTTCTCATCCTCTGGCATCAAAAACAGAGTCACAACTTGAAATAAAATTTTAAAAATTGCTAGGAATAATGTGCAAACCAGAACTGGTTTGCCTCTCTCCACTACTGGAGGTTCAGTTGTTGAATGGAGTTGAGAGGAGAGCTGGAGAGAGTTTTCGGAGATAAGAGTTGTAAATAGGCAAAGGAAAAGTGAGAGATCCAGTTATTAAGCAGAGTAAGTCACACTAAAACTTAGTGGTTCAAAACAATAATTAGCTCTTCTCTCTCACGATTCTGGGAGCTGATTTGGTTTAGTTCAGAGTCTCTCGTGGGGCTGCAGTGAGATGATCCTGGGGCTGCTGTCACCTCCTCACTCATGTGTGATGCTAGATGCTGGCTGTAACCTGGACTAACTTCAGGCAGCCCCCTCATGTGGTCTGGGATCCCAGAGCAAGAGTTCCGAGACAGACAACTTCCACCTAACCTAGTCTTGGAAGTCATGCAGCATCACCTCTGTCACAGTCTTGCCCAAACACAGGAGGAGGGAACAAAGACCCCTACCTCGCAACAGCATGAGTGTTGTCACTGGTCATAAGGGCATGTGGATGGACAATCTTGTGGCCATCTTGAAAAATGGGAGTACATGTCAGAAAGCATGCTGGCTCGAACCAGAACCCACGTCATCTCTTACCACCCTCAAGCCTCCAATGTCACAATACAGGTGGCCTACTGAAGGGCTGGTGCACTATGCAATGAAGCTGCACAAAAACCTGATGCAGTATTTAGAGAGACTTAAAGAAGAGATATAGTAGGAGATGAAGGAACCACGGCCTAATTCCTACTCCACACCAACTAACAAGGTGCCATAGCACATCCCCAGAGGTCTGAGTTGTCTTTCAGGCTTCACATAGACTTTCCAAGTGTAAACATGGTTCTTGCTTCACTTCCACCTCTCCAGTCACGTGCCACCCTAAGCCTGCACTGTGTAGAGAAAGGAATTCAGAAAAATATACTTCTGGCATACTTAAGTTGACATAATACAAAGTCACCACAGAGAACAATATTCTTTTTCCCACCCTGGCTATTCTTGGGAGAAGTGGGAAGACTCCAAGAAAAATCTTGGGTGAGGTTTGAGTTGATGCTGAAAACAGATGAGGAGGGCTCACTTCTCAAGTTGGAGGCTTATCCATGACAGTAAAGCAAGAAGTCACCTTGCTTTACTTCCCCATAGTTTTCAGAGGGCACAGAAGACCCAGCCAGGTTTCATGACCCTGAATGAAGGGATACAGAGGTTGACTAAGAATAAGAGCTGGCTTATAACCCCTGGAGATTTGCTAACCTGAATGAAAAAGCATTCATCAAAAACGGGTTTGTATTAGTTTGATAGGGCTATTTTAACAAGTATCATAATTGAGGGGCTTAAGCAACAGAAATGTATTGCCTCAAAGTTCTGGAGGCTGAAAGTCCAAAATCAAAGTGTTGTTAGGATTGCGGCCATGAAGAAAATATCTGTTTTAAGCCTCTCCTCTTGGCTTGTAGATAGATGGTCATCTTCATATTCACATGATGGTATCCCTGCACGTGTGTCTGTCTCCAAATTTCCCCTTTATATAAACAATACCAGTCGTCTTGGATTAGAGGCCCACTCTATTCCAGTATGACCTGATCTTAACTAATTACATATGCAATGACCCTATTTCAAACAAGGTCAAATCCTGAGATACTAGGAGTTAGGGCTTCAACACATGAATAAGGGGCAAGGAGGACACAATTCAACCCAAAACAGGGTTTGACATATACTTCTGAAGACAATGAAGAGGGGATGCAGCTGTTCTTCTGAGGACTCTCTGAACAAGGGGGCTTAGAAGAAAACCTTATACGTCATCTTTGTCAAGAGACCACCAACATCAGACCAATCCAGGTCAAGAAACGAATGCCCTCTCGCCCCTGCATTACCCAGCTGTGCCTGTGTGATGGATATTGGTGGACTGAAGTTCAACATCCATTCTTCCCTCCATCTAGTGTTCCTTCCTAAACTGGTGCCTGGAAATCTAAAATGGACATTTTTTTCCTTTGCAGTTAGGGTTCAGGTGCAATTTAGGATCAACTAATCAGACAAACTCATACATTATTTGGAAGGAAGAAATAAGGTAAAGCCACACTTCTGCAGTTTCTGCTGAAAAGTTCAATTACTAATGTCTTTGGTTTTTCAGTTGCCGAGTTAACAGAATCCATGTCTCCAGCTCACCATCTTTGTAGGTGTCCAGAAACAGCTTAAGGCATTCATTCTCCTGGATCATTTTAGGTAAATACACCAGATGCCCTCACCACACACAGCCTTTTCCTGCACATAGATGCTATCAAGGGGAGAAGAACAATTCTTAAATTTGAATGAAATTCTACCTCAAAGAGATGTTTTATCAGAAGTGACTAAGTCATCTTAAAATATTTAGATAGATTTTTTTCCATTTGATGAAAAAAGGATTCAAGAACTAAGCCATTTTTTTGACTCCTGCATTTTATAAACTGTAGTAACTTTTAAACAACATATCTACTACTTGAGATTCCAAAAGAAAAACTCATTCTAGGTAGATTTAGATGAGAGTAGAATTACTTGCATTCTGACATAAAACTTATGTAGAATATGTGTCTGAAATATGTTTATATTCACACCCTGTTTCATCTTCATCTGTCTCAGAAATATACATCTGATGAGAATAACTTCCAAGGGCTTATTTTGCCCCATAGCCTGTCGATGTATTATTTACTCATTCTTTCAACTTCTAAAATAGAGTAAATAGCCCAAAGGGTGAAACCTCTAGGTTTATATTCAAAATTTATAAAAAGACTACAAAAAGGACAATGTAAACAGCAGATGAGATGATAAATAATTCATGGAACTAAAATACTTAAATGGTCAACAAACCAAAGCTTTATGAAGTCATAACTCAACAAAAATCTTATATTTTACTACATTATTACCATTATTCTGCCAGGTGTCACTGGCAAATGTGGCTAAGTTGACTTTTAATTTCTAGAACTTTACAAACATCTTAACATAACTTGGCACATTAACATAAACTGTAGAAGAAAACCAAAAGCCTTAGCAACGTTCTCCAGGGAAAATGGTCGTTTATCCAGCAAATAACTGACATAAATAAAAAAGGGAAGGGGGTTTGGAATGTTATAGAATAAAAGAGACCTAAAAGATATAACCACCAAATGAAAATATGTGGACCTTGCTTGGATTACGATTTAAACAAAGCCCCCTAAATCTTTGAGATAAACAGGGAATTGGAATATGGACTGGTATTAGATGATATTAAGGAATTATTGTAAATAATTTTTAAAAGTTCCTGTCAGAGATGCATACTGAAGTCTTTACAGATGAAAGAACATCATATCTTGGGTTTCTTTTAAAATACTCCAGTTTACTCCCCACCCAAAAACTACATCAAAGAAGAGCTAGATGACAGGCATAGGAGAGTTTATTATACTAATTTATTTATCTTTGAGAACTTCCATCAAATAAAAAAGAAAACTAGTTTGGTTAAGCACTCTTGCTAATTTAATTTTTTTAAAAGTCAGTTGAGTTTTATTAAATAGTCTGATCAATTTGTTTTTCACTTTTTGTTTTTTTAAAGATTTTATTTATTTATTTGACACAGAGAGACACAACGAGAGAGGGAACACAAGCAGAAGGAGTGGGAGAGGGAGAAGCAGGCTTCCCGCTGAGCAGGGAGCCCGATGTGGGACTGGATCCCAGGACTCTGGGATCATGACCTGAGCCGAAGGCAGACGCTTAACGACTGAGCCACCCAGGCGCCCTGTTTTTCATTTCTTAAACTTACGCTTTTTAGGCTGCATGAATCTTAGAGCTAACATGTGGTGTAGCAATAATAGGAACTAACATTTACTATGAGCTAAGTACTAGGAACTCTTCTGGGTATTATCTAATCCTAAAACAAAAAACAAAACACCCTGTGACGTACTGTGAAGGACGCAGTGACATGCTGCTCAGATCCCCTTCACAAAAGGGCTGCTGCCCCCACTGCTGGGAGCTGGCCCTTGCAGGGATGCCCTAGTTCCAGAAACCTACCTCACCTATGGACATGCCTATCCCTGGGTGGCCCAAATCCAATGACAGATGGAGGAGGGGTTATAAAGGCCTGGCTATTTGGACAATGCAAAACCACCATGATGGGCTGTTTTAGTCTTAGAGCTCCTGGGAAGATTGGCCAAAGCTACCTGGTACCTGCTTTGCTAATGACTTCTCCCTTTACCCCATCTTCTTCCATCCTCACCTTCCACAGGTGTTCCAAATTCAGTCCCCAATAAACATGTGCACTAGACTCCAGAGTCAGCTTCCTAGAGAGCCCAATTTGTGACAAATATTATTATTACCACCACTACCATGCCCTGTTTTACAAGAAAACTGAGGCACAAGGAGATCAAATAACTTGCCTAAGATTATGCACATAGTAAGGGTTCCTAGAACCAGAGCTCTTAAACACCAATCTAAACTTTTCCCAATTTCATGACTAAGAATCTTCCTCTGGGTTTCAGTTCTAATTCTGCAATGTATTTAACTGCGTGGCTTTGGTTAAATTACTTGGATGCTCTGAACTTCAGTTTCTTCTGCAAAAAGTGGGAAAACAATTCTTTATTCCAAGATGATTAAGATGAAATAATACACATAAAAGAAGCTGGCACACAGAAGCACTCAATAAAACTGAGTAGGATAGGGCGCCTGGGTGGCTCAGTTGGTTAAGCGACTGCCTTCCGCTCAGGTCATGATCCTGGAGTCCCAGGATCGAGTCCCACATCGGGCTCCCTGCTCAGCAGGAAGTCTGCTTCTCCCTCTGACCCTGTTCCCTCTCGTGCTCTCTATCTCTCATTCTCTCTCTCTCAAATAAATAAATAAATAATCTTAAAAAAAATAAAACTGAGTAGGATAAGTTCTTACTGTCAGGAGCAATACAAAGACCAGAATTTCCAATTAAGTGTTATTTTACCGTTAAGCAAATTTGCACAAGTATATTGTCCAGATTCACTATTTCTAAAACAGACATGGGCTGGAAATAGTAAGTATTCGATAAATATATCCAATAAAAATGCATTATATAATGATGTATTTACTTCTAAATTCTCAGATTTGGGCTTGGCCAGGAACTACTAAAAATGTTATGTTTGGGCAAAACTTTAAGATTCATTATCATAAGGATGCCAGTTGGAATTTGTCCATTCACATTCTTTTTCTTTCTTTTTTTTTCTAAAGATTCATTTATTCCAGAGAGAGAGAGAGAGAGAGAGAGAGAGAGAGCGCAAGGGGGAGGGGCAGAGGGAGAGAGAATCTCAAGCAGACTCCTCCATGAATGCCGAGCCTGATGTGGGGCTCAATCTCACAACTCTGAGATCATGACCTAAGCTGAAATCAAGAGTTGGATGCTTACCTGACTGAGTCACCCAGGCACCCCTTGCATTCTCTTCGTAGGAAATGGCCTTGCCTATTGACCCTGATGTCTGTCTGGGGTGCCATGTTTTTATATCATTTACATGAGGTGTTCTTGACTCAAGGATAGCAAATCCAAATACTAGCTGGGTGACAGATGATATAGCCTGGCCTGAAAAGATGAGTGGGGCCTATCAGATCCTGGCTCTGGTTAATTTTAGTTGAGGATCAAAAAGAGAATGAAACAATTAGCATAGAAACAAAAGCTGAAAAAATGCCATAATCCATAGCAAGTCAACACCATGTGAAAGCTGAAATCATTGGAGCAGTGGAAACTACAATAAACAGAGGACCTAGTCAAGAAAAAAGATTAAGCAGACACAGAAATATTCATATAATTCATATTACAATTCAAACTGCTCAAATTGTTCAAACTTTTGTCTTTCCCTTTTATGAAAACACACAGTTGTCATTTACAAGAAAGGTCACTGTTGAAAATTTTAAATTAAATTCCTTATATTTGTTTCTCCAAAACCTCCCTTCCAATTTTATTGTCTGTTGACAAGAAATCTTATTCTAGTGAGTGTGAAGATAGGCCAGCATATTTTCTTCATCAGTATTGCTTAATTGCTGCTACTTTTTTTTGGAAGATTTTACTTAGCACATCATCTTATAAGGAAAATGTTGTTTAATTAATTCAATTTATGTAAATAGAACTATACACAAAGGCTTTTTGGATCAAGCAGACTCAAATGAAGTGGCAGTTCAAAGTAAACTTGGATTTGTATGAGACAAATGTTCCCAAACTGCCCTATAAAATCATTTATTCATTGAAAAAATCTTTTAATGATCACCTATTTTGTACCAGGCACTTGGCATAAGAAAATGAATATGATCTCTGCCCTCCAGGAGCTCATGCCTAATTAGAAGAGACCAGTAAACAACTATTACTACAATGCCACAATAAATACAAAAAAGACAACAAACGGCAATGATAAATGGTCAAGTACAATAACAAGTAACATTAAAGGAAACACTGAACTGAGAGAAAAGAATTCTAGTACAATGGGTTAGACAGTCCCTCACAGAAAGCAAGAGGTCCAAGATAGGTACATGCTATGTCTTAGAGAGCTCAGTAGGACATGAAATCTCTTACCTGTACATGAGGTTTCATCAGTTCTTGTGTGTAGTAGCATGGTTTAGTTGTCATCTTTATGGGAAAGCCACAGATATGAGGCAGTTTAGATTTTAAGTCTGAAATGAAACTTTTCAACACACCTTCCAAATCTACCCTTGGAAAGAACTGTATGGGCTGACTTCTGATGCAGCTGAGAGGATATCTGAACAACGTTAAAGAACAGTAGAACAGTTTTTGTACTTAAGAGATAACAATTTCTTTCTTTTTCTTTTAATGATTTATTTGAGAGAGAGAGAATGCATGCATATGCGCACACGCACGCACGCACACACACACACACACACACACACGAGTGGGAGAAGCAGAGGGAAAGAGAATCTCAAGCAGACTCCACGCTGAGTGCAAAGCCTGACTCTGGCCTTGATCTCACAACACAGATCATGACCTGAGCTGAAACCAAGAGTTGGACGCTTAACTGACTGCACCATCCAGGTGCCCCAAGGGATAGCAATTTCTATGGAATTAGAAAAGTATGACAATATTAACTGTTAAAAAGGCACACATAAATAAATCCTATTTCATATATTGCTTATTTCATATTTTCCAAAGCAAAATGTGTTTTATCACAGGGATCTTGCTTCATTCTCTTTTAACCCTCAAAATCAAGACTGCTCATTGTGTCCTTCTTATAGAGCTTTCTGTATAGACTGGCAGACTAAGATATTCCAAAACTAATTTATAAGAAAGACACTATGACCTTTAGAGATCACAAAAATAAGTGTTGATAGTAAACAATAAAGAGGTTTCATCTCCAAAAGCTATAAAAATTCAATACAAAGAAACAACACATATAGAGTGTATTCAAGCTCCAAAAGCAATTCTTTTAGAAGAGCAGTTACTTTTTCTGATGAAAAATATTCTGAGGACTTGGAATAACGCCTTTGCATCTAATGAAAGGGAGTAGTTGATCCCTGTCAACCTCAATTTTATATTAAGATTTGGGTTAGGAAGTGTAGAATGGAGAAAGAGAACACCATGGCTCTTCCTTCTTCCAATCTGAAACTCCAGCAGGTCAGAACACAGAGATAGGAATGAGAAATCAGTACCAATTATAATTGAAAAGTTTCACCGGAACACTCATATTATTAACTTATTTAAAATAATGGTAAGACAGATATTTTCTTAAATCATTGGGGTGCATTAAGTGAAAGTCAGATCCTCTAAATTTTGCCTGTAAAATTAAATAATCTTCCAAAGACAAAAATCTTTGTAAAAAGACTAATTCTTTTAATTTTACCCTTTCAATAATATCCAAAATACCACTGGAGGGAGCCCTTGGCTAAGGAGAATCCTAAGATTTTCTTACTGTCTACTAGCAGTCATGTGAACATTTTTCTATCTACTCTAAATTTCCTTTTGTTGCCTAAATTGTTGCAATAGTGCTTAAGAGAAAAAAATAATCATTATTAAGCTCATTCTCAAATAAAAATAGAAAAATTCTAAGGAAAACAAAAAACATTCAAGCTGGGGAAAAAATGTAGAGGGGAATGCAGTTTCATTTAGACATAGAGAAGTTTGAAAATGAGGACAACATCAGAGCCAGGAGTAAGACTGGATCATGAGGTTGGCAGGGGCTTCTGTTATAAGTGGTGTATAAAAGGATATGTGAAGATCTTTCCTCTTATCATTTTAAAGTAGATGCTGCAGTATATTTTAGTATTTCCACAATCTTCTGGAAGTTTATAGCCGTACTAAAAATTAAGAACAAAGCTGAAATTCTCTTAAGAGAAAGCTAAACTTAGGTTCAATTATAAGAATAGCTTCTAACATAATATACATTTCTATTCCTTACCAGGTCATTCCAGTGCATCTGGAAATCTTCATATGAGTGAAAAGGACAGTCAGGGGGTGTGGTGTGAAGAATACTTATTATTTGTCCCCTTTTCATACTATGAAAAATAAGAGTTGATAAAATATTATGAGCCAGTGCTTGGATATAATTTTATTTAATTATATAATTTAATTTAGAGAATACTCAAAAAGATTTAGCCACTATCAATACATAAGTAATAAACTAATCATTTGCTCCTAGTTCCAAGTACATCATTTTATTAAATCTTAACAACCAGAATTGTTAGGAAAAACTAAACTGAATTAATACAATGTGCCAGTTATAAACAGAAAATAATGTTTAGTAAATGTGGCCATACAGAAGTATGCCTAGTAACTGTTAGACTTTAAGGAAAATTCTGTTAAGAGCTAAATGAATCAGAGTCAAATCTGTGTTCTCTAGCTACCTCCTCTCTGCTTTGATGATTAAATTATTATGCACATTCTGTTACTTAAAGTTCTTTTTCCTAAGAAGGTTAAAATTTCATCCCAATAGTCCTATTTATATTAATAACAAGCCATTTTTTCCCCTAAAGACAGTACAAACTTAAAACAGTTCCTATCAAATAATAATGAAACATTAATTATATGCACAGTTTAAAAGGTTTTACTGATATTATTACATTATATTATATATATTATATATTATTATTATAATGGTTCATAATGAGATATCTGGAAATTTTACTTTTGTAAAGACTATATTTAACAAAAGTATATGTGTGTAATAAAATTGTTTTAGTAATTTGATACAGGAAATTGAGGGCTTCTGTATGATGTTTTTTAAGTTACAAATCGCTTTCAAAAATTCAGTTTCAAAAATGCCTTTATAGGGCACCTGGGTGGCTCGGATGGTTGAGCGTCTGCCTTCAGCTCAGGTCATGATCCCAGGGACCTGGAATCGAGTCCCGCATCGGGCTCCCTGCTCCTTGGGACCCTGCTTCTCCCTCTGACTCTCTCTCTCTCTCATGAATAAATAAATAAAATCTTTAAAAAAATTCCTTTATACTTCTGTATACATTGTTGCTGAAGCAAAATGAGAGAGACCTAACTATAACTTGGACCCATCCCAGATGATACAAATTGAAATCTCACCTTGGCAAAACGTAGCACCAGTTGCTTAAAATTGAATGTCCTTCAATGACAGCATTCTTGTCAGTATCAAAATCCTTTATAATACTCTGAGAAATACCAAATTCTCTTAGCTTTTAATAGAAATAAGATTTAATGTGTAAGTCCTCAAAAGAATTTGTCAAACAAAAAGAAACACATACATAGTCAATTACAAAGTAGTTTTAAAGGCTTACTTTAAATTGGGAGATACATAACACTTTACATAATGTAATCAATGTTTCAGCTCTCCCTATTTCTCTCTGTACAATATATCTAGTATTTCATGCTTTCTCTCATTTTCCAACCCTGAACCTCTCTCATACTTATTTCAACTGGTTTTCAACTTTTTGATTATGCTTATAGGAAGTTGAATTCCTTCTAAAGGAAGGTATTTACATTTTGTAAGAATAGTGTCTTAATTTTTTTTTTTTTTTAATGGAGGATGAGTTACAGAGTTGTTCTTCTATTTGGTCTTTGAAGGGTAGAGCACAGAGCCAATACTCTCCTTCTGTATCCCTTTTCCATCTCCTGGAATGCTTTTCCTCTGGTCATCAGGTGCCCCATCTGCAGGGTATTTAAGCTGATAGTTTACCAATCCTTTTCTACTTATGGTTTTCTTACCCTGTGGGGCATTTTAATACAGTGAATCAAAGATAAGGAGAGACTTTAAGTAAAGTATTAATGTCCTCCTAAGAGGATACTGTGTTAGGATCAGAGAGAATGGTTCATAATCCCTCACCCCCTTTTTAACCTATCATCATACAGATTTTGGGAAATAATGTTCTAACTTCATTCTCTACTACTGTTTTTCAACAAACTCCAACTAAACTGGCCATTTTTTTTTTTTATTGCCTAGACAAGTCATAAATAACAATACACTTGCTTAAAGCACTGCCCTTACTCTGATTTATCTGAGTTCTACCAGTAAGAGCCTTACAGGCCTAGAGCTAGACCCATCTCCTCTACATTCAGTGACTGATCCCTCCCTGAATTCTAATAGCATTTATTAAGACTAATGGAAATTAGGGAGCAGGGCAGAGCAGAAAAACATGAATGCAGGAATAGGAAGATAAGAACTGCTGGTTATGTTGTGAGGTAAGAAAGCAAAGACAGTAAGAATGAATAAGGATTCATATTGTCCTGTGCACGGGAGAAAATTTGCCCGGTGATATACTGTACTTAGGAGCTAAGTTGTCTAATTTGTGACCTACGAAAAGGATTGTCATGGGGCGCCTGGGTGGTTCAGCCGGTTAAGCATCTGCCTTTGACTCTGGTCTTGGGATCCAGCCCCACGTTGGGCTCTTTGCTCAGTGGGGAGCCTGCTTCTCCCTCTCCCTCTGCTGCTCCCTCTGCTTGTGTGTGCGTGCTCTCTCTCTGTCAAATAAATAAATAAAATCTAAAAAAAAACAAAAGCGTAGTCAGTGCTGGGATGGCTGTGAATGTCAGGAAAGACTGACTGCAGGTGAATAAATAGATTATTTGAGGGAAAACAGAACCTAAAATTGAATTCAGAGAGGGTAGGTATCATGTCCAAATATTCAATTTATGGGTTCTCATATACACTCACTTATATAGCTTGAGTTTATATCCTTCTGGCTATTTTCAACACTATTCAGAGATTCAAGCAAATTGCTGCAGAGATCTCCATGGTACCAGCACTTAATGTCTATATTGGTTTTTCTCAACATAGATTTTTTTGAAGACTGGCTAACTACCCAAGTGTTCACCATATGCCCCAAGAGAAAGTTAACCTCTTACATGTATTTACTTAACAAATATTTATAATGTGTCCTTTCCTGAACAGACCTGCACTAACAAGGTACTCAGTAAATATACCTTCTTCTTTATAATGCCAAGCTAAAGAATTTGGACTTTATTTGCTCTAGGCAATGTTGAGATACTAGAGATATTTAGGTTGGGGCCATCTGTTTTAGAACGAGAACTCTGTTGATACTTTGAAGAAGAATTAGAGAATAAATAAGGGGAAAGACTGGAAAAAAGAAGGCCAATATGGAAACCATTTTAATAGTTCAGGCAAAAGAAGAGAGTTTAATCAGAGCAGCAGAAATGGAGAGAGAGGAAGGGATTTCAGAGACCAAGGTAGGCTATTAATGGCTGATTAGATGTAGGGACTGAGACCCAAGGATAACTCTGCAATCTAGCTGGTTAACTTATTGGCTATTGATGCCAGTAACCAAGAGCAAATACAGGAAGAACAGAGTCAGGGCTAGTGAGGGTGACAAATAATTCAGTTTCAGGCATAACTGAGACTGAGCATCATCAGTACATTCATGTGAAAATATCTGAGAAAGGACAAATTGCAATTATACAAGAATATTTGGGAAGTAAGTGTATAGGCTTACCACTGGAAGAGTTGAACCTGCTATGGAAAGGAAAGGTGGGCTGAAAATGGAACCCTAGGGAACAGCAACATTTAAGGTGCAGTAAGAGAGGAAAAACCATGAATGAGTGGTAGGAAATTCGGGATAAAGCAGTTTCAGAGAAACCAAAAAAGGATATGATTTCAAGAAGGAAAGGGTAGAAAATAATGTCACAGTTCCAAGGTTTCAAATATGAATTCTCTCAAACATCTCCTTTTTTTTTTTCTGAACTCCTAAAGTCATGTGGTTCTTATGATGCTTAGTTTGGTACTATATTATCAAACACTGTTGTTATTTTTTTCAGTACATAATAAATACCTACTCCTGTCAGGCTCTATGGGACGTACAAATTTGAGTCAAGAAACCTAAGGCTAGGTGAAGGAAGTATAATGCAGTGTAGCAGAAAGGACAGAGTCAAAAGAAAAACTTTTAAATCCTAAATCACTTTCTTACTACCTTTATGACCTAGAGCAAGTTACTTAACCTCTGTCCCAGCTTACTTAAGGGGAATGAAAATGTAGAAGATAAACTGGAAAGGAGAGAAGGGGTAAACATCTTCCTCCTCACTTTTATTCTCCTCACCAGACCTATAACCAATACTACATTTTGATAAAAGGAAAATTCAATGCAATTATCTTTTAGTCTATTTGGGGAACAAAGATAAATAAGGGAAAAACTAGACTCTCAAAGAGATCACAACTTAATAGGAACATAGACATGTATGAAACTAATTTTTATAACAGTGAGAACATGAAAAATGCCATATCAAAAATTTAGGTAAAGTGAGATTTGGAGGAGCTGATTATCGATTATAATTTAGGAAATCAATTTAAATGAATAGAATAAGTGTCTACTGAGTATATAATGTTGAGTAGAAGATAGGAGTACATCTTCTCCATTTCTGGTGTTTGCTTCCATGTTGAGAAAGCTCTAACACATACTCCTGATGTCTCTCTGCCCTTCCACTCATTTCTCCCGAGGGCAGATCAGGTGACTTATCTGGCTGATAAAACTGGGACAATTCCTTCTTCCTTTTGGGAACTGGCTTGCTGGCAGAAGGTGGGTACTGCATTCTGTCATGTGGGGAACGGTTCCTGATCTCTCAAGGGAGCCTGTGGGTTTCCATTACTCCCACAAGTAGGCGGGGAAGCTACCTAATTCGAGGGTTCAGATAGGACACATTCTCTAACAACTGTTTCTTTTTTCCCATAATAAACAGTGTGACCATATATCTGTTAAAATAAATAAAATGAAAACCAAACTTGAAAATCCCTTAAGCAGACAAAACCAGTTAAGCACATAAGTAAAACCTAATCCAGCTCATTCTATAACACAACTGAAATTTAACTTCGATTATTTCTTGTAAATGCCTCTTAAAATCATAAATAAAACTTAAATTGTTTTCCAAAACAGAGTAAGACAATCAGTTTTAACTAATTCCCTGTCATCTGGAAAACCCCATTACTATAACCAATCATTATAAAGATAAAATAGCTTCTACATTTTCATTATATAAACTGTCCTGCAACAACACCCTTCTGAGTTTCATTACACTGTTAGTTTGAAGACTCTTGGTTCACAAACTATTCTTTTATGTACAATAAATTCAATAAATACAATTTTAATTGATCTGATTTTATTTTTATCACACCCCAGTTCATATATGTTGGGCCAGTATCCCCTTAGGTTACTGTCCCTTTCACTCTCAAAAGTATCCATTTGGGACCATAAGTTATATTCTCATCCTAGTAATGAAGACGGTATTCTGACCTCTCTATGTCTTACTCTTCTTTGTCAATCTCTAACTGATTCAAAACTCAGATATATAAAGCACAAGTCTCATCTGCAGAAAATTCAAAGGGCAGTAAGACATGGTATTAGTCCTTAAGAAGCTTATTATAAAGTAAATTGGGGATATAAAAATGAGTATAATTCTAAACATACACCTAAGTATGTGAGCATGGTGCAGAATAGAATGAAGGTTTAAAAGAGGCTGGGAGGTCATAGTGGGTCCAAACCTTGGAAAGGTTCCTCAGCAGTACAAGATATTCATGTCATGCTGCCCATTCCATTTATTTTTATGCAGGTCATTTTCCCTACTGGCTTATATAATTCCTGAGGGCCAGATAGCAGAGCCTATTTATTTTTGACTTGTCTATTGCCTCAACATAGCAGGTAATCAAAAAAATTAAAGAGAAATATGAATGGAATAGCATTGAAGCTGGCCCTTAAACGATGGGCAGGATGTATAGCTAATGAGAGGGTCACTCTAAGCAAAGGAGGAGTCATCTGTCTCAACGTGGACACTACTGACACTTCAGGCTGGATAACTCTTTGTTGGGGTGGAGGTGGGGTTGCTGTCCTGAGCACTATAGGGTGTTTTTTAGCAGCATACCTAGCCTCAAACCACTAAATATCCCTCCCCCTTTGTCATAACCAAATTTTTCCTCAGACTTTACCAAATGACTCATGGGGAACAAAGTCATTCATTTCCTTCTCCACCCTCCTCTACTGAGAACCACTGTCACAGAAGAAGGAAAACAATATTTATTGAGTTACTATTAATGTGTAATTGTAGTTGGCTAAGCATCTGCCTTCAGGTCAGGTCACGATCTTGGGGTCCTAGGTTGGAGCCCCGAGTCAGGTTCCCTGCTCAGTGGGGAGTCAGCTTCTCCCTCTCCCTCTGGCCCTCCCCTCTGCTCATGCTCTCTCTCAAATAAATACAATCTTTTAAAAATTAAAAAAAAAATTGTTAAACTGACGTTTCCTTTGAGTAAACCGATTTAGAAGAGTATCAACATATCAAGCATTTAATAATATGGATTTTGATAATAAAAAAACCCTTCTTATCACTCTTGTTAAAAATTAAAGCCTACTAGCATATTGGTAATAAAGTATATAGTAAATATAGCAAAGTTAATTATAGAAATCAAAATATGTGGTACCTCAGGTAATGGCAGTCTGATTGTGTAAGCTTCTATACTTAGACAAACTTGAGTTTCGGTTACGCTGATGTCTAATACTGAAAATAAAATATTTAACTGTGAATTTTCTGGAATTATTACTCCATTTTATTAAGTTAATATTTTAAGTAACAAAAAAATAACCTTAACTTTATTTATTCACATTAGAAACTCAATTAAGAATATGTATTTTTTCCTCACATGGTAAAATTCAAAAAAATCACCATATAATGTTTGAGAGTCTGCAGATGAGACAGAGGCCTGAAACAACATGGATATATGGACATGTATGTATTGGGGGGCCACAGGGCAAGGTTACAGTAAGAACAGTGAGACATCCCACAGTTAGAACAATTCAACAAGTACCTTTTACAAGCCTGATTTCTATTTACATGTGAAAAACGGACACTGTCTTCTTAAATTGGGAGAGGTGCCATGCCAAGCTCCTAACTTTATAGTCTTTTCCTAACAAATGCCCATCAATATACCAGCAGATACAATACAGATCTCATAGAGACCCAAGGCTTCTACCTTGCTTTCTCATAATTAGAATTACTTATGATAAGTCAGAGAGTGGTTATCTTGGGAAGGGGTAGTACCTGAAAGAAAGCATGGGGTAACGTTCTGTTTCTTGATTTGAGAACTGGTTATGAGGATATGGTTAGTCTGTGAAAATCCAATGAGCTATACACTTAAAATTTATCAGTTCTGCTATAGAATATTACATTTGGTAAAACTAAAAGAAAAGTTCTAACACAAGAGTGAGGAATTTTTCTCTTCTAAAGTTTTATCTTTAACCTCTGACAGCTATAGTCTCTTGACAGTGTCTGGGGATGAAACTGAATTTCTGTAATGAACCCATTCATCCAGAGCTACAGCACAGTGACTGCCGTGTCCAACTTAAAACCAGTGCAAGGAGGGCAAATAGGCTTCAGCCTGAAGGTCAACTCAAATTAAATAGTTGTGGATTATAAGTGCTAGCTCAGGATCTCAGGCTATGCCCAAACTGCAGTGAAAGCTACCATGACTGATTGTCTACTTGGTCTTAGGACTTCCACTTGTCTGCTATCTGTGGACTACTGTTTAGGAACAGGTCTATTTGAACAGCCATGCTTATCAATGAAACAATGAGACCATACTATAAACTGTGTATTTTAGGTCATCTTTGTCTTTAGACAATCTTTTTTTTCTCTTTTATGGAAAAGAAGAATTATGTTCTCATAAGAAATACATCTTTTACTTAACAACAGTACTAAAGAATTTTCAGTGATATGACTCTGGAAGCTATACATTACAAATGCCTGCAGAATTTAACTTCTTCAGAGTAATAATTTCAATTAAGTAGAGAAATTAAAAATATAGATTTTATTCCAATGACGAGAAGTAAATTTTTTTCTCTTATAAATAAGAACATATATTGTGACCCAGAGATGATGTCCTGGGTAAAATTGTGATTATAATAATACCTGATTATATTCTGATAATCATCAAGATTGTAACAACCCAACAATCTGTAACATTGTTTTCTTTAATGACTGTTAGCCATATTAATGTTTTATCTATTGACTTATGCATTTTTACTTACCAACAGCACTTTGCTTTCCCATCTGAGAAAGAAATTCTCTCCCTTAAAAAATTCATAGGGTATGCCACATTATTACAACTTATAAATCACGCTTAATAAATACAACCTTTTTATGTTTAATTATCAAAGCTAAGGAAAATACCTTAAAATGCAGTTTTACACAAAGGAATATCTAAAGACAGTTCAGAGAAAAAATATAACCACTCAAAAACTATCTTTTCAATTAAAAGGACAGAAATACCCAATTCTTCCTTCTAACATTTATTTCCTGGCATCAAGTACTTAGAAAATGGTCAGACCTCAACACAAAATCCAGAATAGCCTTTTGGTTCCAACCATTTTTGGTAATTTGTATTCATTTTACTATAATGCTCTATAACTTATATTTATTCCTTTGTAAACATCAAGTATTACATAATTTTAAAAAATTCTTTGAAAAAACATCAGCAGGCCTCTGGATATAATCCTAAGTAAGAAGATGACATTTATGTTGTTGTGGACTTGCCTGAGAAGGCTTAGCTGGAGCTATGCTTTAAAAATTATTCCTTAAACATAATGTATCTTGAAATTTAAAACAGATGCACAGACTAGAAGTAATCTAATTCAGAAACCCCCAATGACTGAAAGATATAAAGTCACCTTGCACCAAGAGATGGCCAGTTTTATTCCAGGCTGGAGCAAGTTTAGCTGTGAGTGAATATGAAAGGCAGTTTTGAAGAATTACAGGAATTACTCTTTGTGGAGCCGCTACCTAAACATATTAAAGAACAAAACACAGGCAAATTTCCAGCAATTGGCAAGCCCTATAAACTCAAAGAAAATGTGTGTTTAGATCACCACCCAAAAACCTGGGTTATTTTGGATATCAATTATAGTCATCACTACAACTAATCCTATCTGGTTCTAAAGTTAAATTAGTGTTAAAACATATTCGCTTTGAAACCACGAGGACTATCATGCTACAATGGCCAAATTCTTCCTCCTTATCCCGTCCCAATAAGCCTAAAGTTTTAGAGCTTCTGCCCTAGGACCCTACACTATACTTTGTGTTCTGCTCTGCACAGAGGAAACCAGCCCACAACTATATTATGATTTTCATTGTTGTTCACTCTAGTTCAGTATCAGAAAACAATTACTTACATGGGCACACATGAAACCAGCAGACTATTTCTACGGGTAGAGAATTTTTTTAAATCAAGACTTTTACTTCTGACTAATAAAAAGTAATAGGATCCAGATTTATCCTCCCACTTGAGGTAACTAAAGAACTGAGCAAGTTATATGAAACGGTATTTCACAAGACTCTGGACATCTAGCAAGAAAGAAGAGCAATCCTTAAGAGATGGGAATCCTACAATTACCCCCCCCCCCCACATACACACCCCAGTATCTCAATTAAAGAGGGTTTCTAGGCTGTGGTGCAGGGAGGCAGAACCCTGGACGAGTGGTACCTAAGTTGAGGGATAGCTGAGAGTCCAGGAGGCCAAGGGAGCTAGTTTTGGGGGCAAAATATTAGACCGGGGAGAGCTGCACAGAGAGTGAACTCTGAGATCAGCAGAGTCCCTCTTGAGTCATCAGCTGAGTATGGATTAGCCACATGCATGTAAGGAAAATACCCAGGGCTAGGGAAAGAACCAAGGTTTTCTTCTATACAAATATCCTTACAAATACAGTCCAAAAGAAAATGCTGCCATTGCTGCTTTTAGCAAGATATGCAGAAAAATGAGAGAGCCAAGGAGAATTGTTTCCCAATATTATTCACCCTTCATTTTTGTATTATTTTGTTTTCTGGTGAATTTTCCCAGGATACAAGTAACTAATTTGTTGGCAGTGAAGAAGACCAAATCGGTTCAAATTGTTTCATAGATATTTTAATTAAGGATATTATCAATAGGACTTCAAGCAGCAGGATGAAGCCAACCTGTAACACTAACCTCAAACATGAACCCAGGGTCTCAGGCCTAAACGGCTGAACAAATCCCATAAACTATCAGGATCTTCCTTAGAAAGCCAAATGGTTTTCTCCTTGATTCTGTATTGACTTTCTGCTTGGACTGAGGCATTAACCCAGATACAGTAGAAAGTATCAGCGTACATTCAGCCTTGGCATACAAGGAGGAAATGCAGGGCAATTCTGTCATCCGTAACCAACCTGATTCATGACCTGGATGCCTTTCAGGGCAAAGATGGGGTCACTGACCACTGCAGCTAAAGTCAGGGCCAAATTTTGTGCCATGTTTTCTCAATAATTGATACAAAAGATAGATAGAAAATAAGAAGAATATAGTAGCTTAACAACACTATCAACTGCTGTTGATAGATAAGATATAAGATAGATAGATAGATAAGACCCAAATTGACATAGACTACTTGACACAACAGCAGAATACACATTGTTTTTAATTAGACAAGGAATATTTACTAAGGAAGACCATATTCTGGGCCATAAAACAAGTCTCAATAAATTAAAAAACGTTCAAGTTATATAAAACATGTTCTCTAGCCACAATTAAATTAGAAAACAATAGAAGGATCCTTGGAAAACCCCTGGATATGTGGAAACTACATAACACACTTCTAACTAACCCACAGTTAGAAAGGAAATCAAAGGGGAATTAGAAAGCATTTTGAACTGAGGAAAATTAAAACAGAACACATACATAGGAGGAAGTTTATAGCACTAAATGTATCTAATATTAGAAAGGAATGTTCTTGAATCAATGACCTCAGTTTCCACCTTAAGAAACTAAAAAAAGAAGAGCAAAGTAAACCCAAAGTAAGCCTAAGAAAGTAAATAATAAAGACGAAAATGAAAAGCAATGAGATACAAAACAGTAAAACAACAGAGAAAATCTACCAAACCAAAAGCTTTTTTTTTTTTTTTTTTTGCAAATCAATAAGCTTGCTAAGCCTCTAGCAAGACTGATTACGGAGGAAAAAAAAAAAAAAGACAAGACACATTACCAATATCAGGAATGAGACAGGTGACATAACTACATATTCTCCAGCAAAGGAAATTAAGAGAGTATTACAAGCAACTTTATGTCAATAAATATAACAAGTTAGGTGAAATGGACAAATTCCTTGAAATAGATAATTTGAATCATTCTATCATCTATCAAAGACATTGAAATTGTAGTCAAAAACCTTCCCACAAGGAAAATGCCGGGCCCAGATAATTTGATTGGTGAATTTTACTAAGTATTTATGGAAGAAATAAAAATTCTATACAAACTCTAGGGCGCCTGAGTGGCTCAGTTGGTTAAGCGACTGCCTTCGGCTCAGGTCATGATCCTGGAGTCCTGGGATCGAATCCCGCATGGGGCTACCTGCTCAGCAGGGAGTCTGCTTCTCCCTCGGACCCTCCCCCCCTCATGCTCTCTCACTCTATCTCATTCTCTCTCTCAAATAAATAAATAAAATCTTAAAAAAAAATTAAAAAAATAAAAAATAAAAAATTCTATACAAACTCTAAAAACTAAAAAAGTGGTTCTTTTACATGCAAAGCAATATCATATGAGAAAGATATTTTAATTTTTGTTTGCTGACAAAAGAAGTTGAATACAACATCAGTATAAATAGCATTTGGAATTATTATCCTTTTAAAAACTTACCTTAGCTCCATATTTTTCAATATAGGCATTAAGTTTTCCAGCTTTATAAAATGGTATCTATAACAACAAATCAACAAAAATCCACATTTATAAAAATTACTTAACACAAATATATTATTAAATAATGCAATATAAAGAATTTAAACATTTAAACCTACAGCAGCCAACCCATCATCAGGCTATCATCCTAACAGCTTCTATTCCTTGGAGAAGCAAGTGATAATCATTTTCTGCCTAAAACAGAATCTGTGGGTACATTCTCAAAATGAGGAAAAGCCTTTCTGAGAGCGATATGAATGTAGAAAAGGAAAAGGCTAATAAATTTCATATAATATTTAACACCTTTCTTAATAAGAAGTTTCCAGGCACATAAGGAAAATGGACACAAATGTAACCTCAAGAGAAAGTTCAAAAGACCAAGGTGCTTCAACTAACCAATGAAAGAAACAGAAATCAAAGAAGATATTATTTTTAACCTAAAAGATTGGCAGATATGTAAAGGTTGTTAATACCCAGTGTTTATGAGAATGTGGAAATACAGATTCTCTCAATATGCTATTAAAATGCTATCTAGTACAAGCTTTTCAGAGAATAATTTAGCATTACCTAGATTTTAGTTCAAAATATACTGCAATTACACTTCTAGGAATTTAAACCATAGAAACTACCAAATAAAAATGATATAATTTCAATGATGCTTCCTGAAGTCTTGTAGTAGTACAACTAGAAACTCAGATGTGCATTAGAAAATATTAACTAAATTATTATACACTCAAACAATGAAATATTTGACAGCCTTAACAATGAATAAGATATATGTATTGAAACAGAACAACATCCAGGAGAGGCTGTTCAAGGAGAAATGAAAAGCAAGTTTCAAAATAGTGTGTATAAAAATCCAATTTTCTACTTTAAATATTTTAAAAAATTTATAGTATGTAATATCTTTGTAAGAAAGCAAAACACGTTTTTAGATGGTTACTTTTCTTTTAATATTCTTGCTAAGATTAGGAGGCTTGGATTTACTAGAACACTGAAACAATGTCCTCCTTGTTCCATAAAGATTTGCAGGTAGAGAAGAATACAAATAAGAGGTAGTAGTGTTTACTTGTCCGTCAACAGCTTATCTTTCTTAAAAAGGATATCAAGAATGAGAAAATAAAAGATGAACATATAACCACACATAAAATAGAAGAAAAATAAAGGAACTAGATTTTTTGATGGATTGTATTAAAAAATGTTCATTTCACTGAATTCTGAAAGATCTAAATTCTCAGAGTATGAGGATTTTCAGAAAGATTTTTGACAAAAATCTCAGGATAATATAATTTTTATAAAGATTTTTTGGCATTTCATTATTATTCCCAGTGACATACAGCACTGGGAAATATGTTTCTCACTGTAATTTTATTATGTGTAAATTTTTTTATTTTGTTTTTTTTTAATTTTTAATTTTTTTAAAGACTATTTGTTAGAGAGAGAGAGAGACAACACATGCACGAGCAGTGGGAGCCACAGACAGAGGGAGAAGCTGGCTCCCTGTTGAGCAAGGAGCCCGAAGTGGGACTCAACCCTAGGATCATGACCTGGGCCGGAGGTAGACGTTTAACTGACTGAGTCATGCAGGTGCGCCTAAAATTTTTTTAAATAAAATTTCCAAATTAAACAAAGAACTGTCAGGCGGCCTGGGTGGCCCAGTCAGTTACGAATCTGCCTTTGGCTCAGGTCATGATCCCAGGGTCCCGGGATCAAGCCCCATGTTGGGCTCCCTACTCAGTGGGGAGTCTGCTTCTCCTTCTCCCTGTGTGTGTGCGTGTGCAAGCGCATGCACGCTCTCTCTCTCAAATAGATAAATAAATATTTGGGGGGAGAAAGAAGAAAGGAAATATCAAATTTAAAATAAACAAACCGTTGATCTAAATTCTTTAAAAACAACTGGAGATACATTGGGATAGGAAACTTCTTCCTTTATATTAAGTGGAATTCTAAAGAATAAAATATTAAAAAAAGATTAAGCCCATGCTATCTTAAAATTATGCTATAATTTTACTATCCATTAATAGTCTTTATCTTAGCCTTTGTGACGAAAAAGTAAATATTAGAACCACAAAAATGAGTTTTAAACATCAGGTATATCAAAGTTAAAGTCTATAAATGGTTCAAACTACAACACAAGGTAATTTGGCTTCAGAAACCACCTTCAATTTGAGCTAAAATTAATACTTGAATTATTGTTTATCAATATTGCTCCCAATAATAAGTAATAATACTTCATAAAATTTTAAAATACTAACCGCCATCACTACCCAAATTTGGCTTAATATTCCAGGCACAGGTGATGTAAGAATATCTTGGTGCAAATACAGCAATTGCCTGTGGAGATGAAATGTATAATTTTAAAGTGGACTTGCCCTCTGTCTGATTTTACTTTATCAGAACATTTTGAAAATTACTTAGTTCTATTCAAAAGTTTACATTTTTTTCTAGGGAAGGATTGTGTTATATAGACTTCTGTATCCCTCCCCACGCTTAACATGGTAACTTGAATAGTTAGCCACTCAGCCAAGGTTTAAGACTGTTACAAGCTTTCAGATATTGATAAGAATATTGTCCCTGCATCTTAGTTTCCCAATCTCTTTCGTCTGTGAACCTAAATTCTTCATTTAAAACTCCATTTCTGGGGGTGCCTGGGTGGCTCAGTCGTTGAGCGTCTGCCTTTGGCTCAGGTCATCGTACCGGGGTCCTGGGATCGAGCCCCGCATCGGGCTCCCTGCTCGGCGGGAAGCCTGCTTCTCCCTCTCCCACTCCCCCTGCTTGTGTTGCCTCTCTCGCTGTATCTCTCTCTGTCAAATAAATAAAATCTTAAAAAAAAAAAAAAAACTCCATTTCTGTCCAAATAGAGATTTGAAAATGTCTAAATATTGTTAAGAATCCAGCTCTTCTAACTTCTGTTTTCCTTTTTTTAAGTGGTAGTCAGGAGGTACTGGAGGCAAGAGTCTAAGGATTCATCTATCAGTGAAGTTATCAACTACTTCAGGGTTAGAACTACTGACTAGACGCTTTTCCTTCAAAAAGGAAATTTTTTCCAAACCTAAATGAAGTGAGTAGTGGTTTCATTTTAGCATTCAACAGCCAAATGAACTCACAACAAAAATCATAATTCAAATTATCATCAAGAATTTTGTTTCAGGGGCGCCTGGGTGGCTCAGTTGGTTAAGTGACTGCCTTCGGCTCAGGTCATGATCCTGGAGTCACGGGATCGAGTCCCACGTCCGGCTTCCTGCTTAGCGGGGCGTCTGCTTCTCCCTCTGACCCTCTTCCCTCTCGTGCTATTTCTCATTTTCTCTCTCAAATAAATAAATAAAATCTTAAAAAAAAATTTTGTTTCAAAGATCAAGGAAAAGGTGGATAAAACACATGAAAATTTTCAAAATTAATATCACGAAAATAAACTCTTAAAAAATAAAAGAGTGTGTGTGGCAGGGAGGGGTTACCTCAAAAAGTAAGAAGGGCCAGTCTGTTTCTGGTCAGAACCCTGGTGCAGAACCAGGTGCAGCAGGTACTTGGTTTTGCAAGGCCTGCCTTTGTCTAACATAGCTAAGCCTCTCCTCAATCTGTTCCTGTCTCTTTGTCAGTTACTGGGACAGTGAATCAAGACACCTCACTCTGTGGGCATGGCCACCCTCAAATTGAGGGTAAACAGCAGAAAACCTCAGGTTTTCCACCCACTTGTTTCCAAAAAGAGTCACAGGTAAATGTCCAACAGGTATCAAATGATACCTTAACACAAAGGGTACAGGCTCCCAGATGTACTTTATTAGGAAAATATACAATGGGGAGAAGAAAACTTTTGTAAATAAGAGCAAAATGGGAAGACACCCCAAGAGTGTTTTCCTTATTTCTGGCTCCTAGCAATCTTGTGTTTGTTCTTCTCCAAGAAATTCAGTTACAGATATAATCTGTATTCTAAGAGTCCTTCTTTGAGTGACTCAAACAATTTAAGGGACTAATTAATACACGGTGGGTTCTTAGCAATCATGGAGTTATACTTTAGGCTTCAATCAAGCTGTTTTTCAAAGACTATCTTGGGTCAGACATTTCAAAACAGCTCTTGGAAAAATACTCTTCAGAAATCATATATTGACCCACAAATTAAGAAACTGCATTAATCTAAAATGTTTACAGTATCTCCTAAAGTGTCCATAAACAGAAGGTACTCAGTAAATATTTATTAATTTCTACCTCTAAGTTTTTGGGAACCTGACTTATCAATGTCCGTAAAAAATTTAAATTAAAAAGATCACACAAGTCACAAATATAAAAACCGAATAATGTGACATTCAATCTCAAATATTTTAAGCCCTTCCCTAAATATAATCCAATATACCTGGTCAGAACATAACTGAATTCCTGTATTTAAAATTATATACACAGATTAAATGAGAGTGTTTTGTTTTAAAGGAGATACTTCTGAAACAGCTAAGATCTCAAAAAACTTAGAAAGCCTTACTTATAGAATGGATTTTTTACCTGCACATCTTCATCTGTATACTTCTAATCTCAGTATCTGCCACCTCATTACTCAATATTATCCTGACAGCACAGAGTTTGTGTAAATCTGGAGGTGTGATGAAAAACAGTGATTGCTGCCTAGAATCATTCATATTTTCCTGTTGACTGAATGTCTCCGCTATCAGGCCTTTAAAAATAAACAAACAGCAATAAAATGGTAGTAAACTATCTTATCATAAAGGTTTTAATACCAACCCATCACAGAATATTTGATATTGTGTTCAAATAAGACAATAAAAACAAATTAGCAGACTTTAGCGTTTAAATATCACTAACATCTTGCCCTGAAGAATTGTTTAGCCCAGGTGACTCGGTTGTGCAACTGATTCTTGATTTTGGCTCAGGTCATGATCTTAGGGTTGTGAGATCTAGCCCAAGCCAGGCTCTATTCTCCGTGGGGAGTCTGCTTGAGATGCTCTCTCCCTCTGACCCCTTTTCTCCCCTACACATACTCTCTCTAAATAAATAAAATCTTTAAAAACGAATTGTTTAACCTGCTAGAACTTTTTGTTACAAGTTTTATTAAGATGTAATACAAATAACCTCCAATTCATCTTTTTTTTATAAAGATTTTATTTATTTATTTGACAGATAGAGACATAGCGAAAGAAGGAACACAAGCGGGTGAGTGGGTGAGTGGGAGAGAGAGAAGCAGGCTTCCCGCCGAGCAGGGAGCCCAATGTGGGGCTCGATCCCAGGACCCTGGGACCATGACCTGAGCCGAAGGCAGACACTTAACGACTGAGCCACCCGGGTGCCCCATTCACTTTTTTTATATTATTAAATTCAATGGTTTTTAGTATCACAGTTATGCAATCATTACAATACATACTAGAAAATTTTAATCATTCCAAAAAGATAATGTAGAATTACAAGCCTGAAGTTCTATATCATAAATAAAATAATTTGAGTACAATAATACAAAAATGAGCTATTTATTAAATGCGTACTCTGATCTAGATAGTAGATATATTTCTACCCCCTTGTCTTTATTTAATAAACTTCTTTTAAAGTTCCTGGCTATTCTTAAGTTTCATTTTGTTTTCAGGAAAAAAAAGAATTTCCTATGACAATAATAATTTTTTGAAAATCTAAATGTATAGCAAAGTCTTCTGTTGTTTCAGGTTATTTCTGTAAAGCACTTCCAGGTTGAATATATTTTTCATTTTTTTACGTGAAAAGTATTTACGAAGGTCTCTAGTGTTTGTTATCTAGTTTCCTTTCCCCAAATTACTTAGCTTTGGGGACATATTTTACAGCTGATAGCTCAGAGCGCAGGCCTCCGACGCCTACCCTGTGTACTAGAGAAAACCGGAACGGTAAAGGAGCCGAGTTCATCAGCTTCTCCCACGCGCCCACATACAGCAGGCGGCAGGTAACCGAGATCCCAGTGCTTCCAACCTTTAAACATCCACATGTTCTCTCCCTTTGAGAAGAGAAGCAAGCAGAGGATCAGCGCGGGAGTCTGCGGCACGACCAGCCCTGAGCGAGCGCGCAGGGAGCGACGGTGCGCGGTACCCGACGGCGCGGACAGTGCCCTGCTGGCAGGCTCCCAGGCCGCCGCCTCCTTCTGAGCGTTCGGAACCTCCGTCCCTCCAGGACCGCGTGGTTCTTTTAAAATGGGAAATACTCTTGAAAAGGTGAACACAAATTCCCATGCGGTATTAATGACCTCATCAGTGGGATTTCTGACCTTAAAAAGGGAAATATTCCTTCTGCTTTTCCGCTCTCCTATTCTAACGCTTACTGTTATGAAAAGGCTTTTTGAAAAGTGCAAGTTCTAAGGCAAAGACAACCTACTTCGCGATTCTGCCTAAAATCCACTTTCCCTGAAGCGTTATAATAAAGGGCATCAGAAGTGAGTGGGGCGGGACAGAAAGCACAGAACTCGTGACGGCGCAGAGGAGCAACTGCGAGGCCCTGGAGGGACGCGGCTCCGAGACCAGCCCGTGTGCGGTTCCCTCGTCCGCTCCTAGCCGGCTTCCGCCGACGGCGACTCCTGCCGTTTCCCTCCCAACACCTCCCGGCGGGGGCGCCGCCGCGCTGCCCGGGAACGGCACCACCGCCGCCGCCGCGCCGCCCGGGACCACCGCCGCCGCCGCGCCGCCCGGGACCACCGCCGCCGCCGCGCTGCCCAGGACCACCACCGCGCGCGGGCAGAGCCCGTCCTCCTGCCCGGCCTCGCCCCAGACCCCGGCCGGAGCACTGCCCCCGGGCCCTCGCGCCACGCGCGGTGTTGGCCCCGGGGGCGGTCCGCGCAGCCTCCCCGCCTGCCCGCGGGCCTCGTGTCCTCTGGGCGCTGACGGACCGCGCAGGAAGCACCCCCCGGCTCTTCAGCTTCAACACGCGGAGCACCGCCTCCAGGCATGACAACGAGCCGTGCCCACTGGGCCCCGCGGCCCCGCCGCGCCCTCCCCTCTACCCCGCGGAGAGGCGCCGCGCTTGTCGGGGCGCGGGCCCCCAAGCGGACTAGCCCCCTGACGGTTACAGACAACCAGCAGCGCTTTCGAAGCCGTCGCCTCGTGAGGCGGACCCCCAGGCCTTCGCACTGGCGCGAGGAGGGGGTGCGGCGGCCGGCGGGGCCTGCCGGGGCCTGCGTGCTGCCCCTCTGGAGCCCTCACCCGGGTGTCTCCCAAGGGACGTTCGCCCTCTGCTCTGAGGGCCCGCGCTCCTCCCCTGCCGCCTCTGCGCTCCCCTCGCGGCTGTGGGGGCGGTGCCCCCAGCACGCCCCGCGCGCCGTCCCGGCCGGCCCACACGCCCCCAGCACCGCCCGCGCGCCACGTGCTCCCAGCAACCTCTGCGCTTGGCCGTTCTTGGCGCCGCTTTCTGCCTGCCCCACGCCCGTGCGGCACGTGCTTTCTCCCGACATGCCCCACAAACCCCCAACACGCCCCATGTGCTACGTGCTCCCCCGGCATGCCCCGCGCGTCCCCGGCATGCCCCGCGCGCCTCAGCTCTTCCCGCCCGCGCTGCTGATGGCCGCGCGTGCCCGGTGGCCCCTGCCGTTCGTTTAGAGAAGACCCGGGGTTGGCCCAAGCGGGGTCTGGGGCGCGAGGCCTTGCAGCTGTGGGGGGAGAGGACACCCGCCTCCCCAAAGCGCGTCCGCGCGCTGGCCGGCCTTCCGGGCTCACGTAGGCGAGGGCGCCCTTTGCCTCCCGCGAAAGGCCCGCAGAGGCCGAACGGTCCCTGACCGGAAGGTTCCGCAGCACGCTGTGGAGCGGCAGCTGCGTGCGAGCACTTTAGGGGCACCCCTCCTTCGTCTGACAGGTATTTATGAAGCGCCTGCTGTGTGCCTGGAGCTTTCCTAGGAGCTAGTAATGGACCGGGAAGCAAATAACAGCCCCTGCTCTCGCGGACCTTGCCTTTTATTTGGGACAGAAAATGGGATAAATGAGCAAAATATGAATGCGGTAGATGGTGGTAGGTGCACTGCCGAAAAATAAAGCAGGATGGAAAGCCAGGGAGTGTTGGGAGGGGCCGCGACGGAGCGGGAGGCCTCATGAGGACGTGGAGGCGACGGAGGGGTGGCCGCACGGATGTCGGGGGACAAGGTGCAGGAGCGGGAGCAGCGAGTCCAAAGGGCCGAGGCAGGAGGTGGCCAGCGGGCCGCGGGGGAGCCCCGAGAGGTTGAAGTGGGGCGCACAGCCCTGGTCCTAAGGCGTGCGCGTTGCAGGAGGTGCGCCCAGGCCGCTGTGCTGAGAATGGACAGGCGAGGACAGAGGGCCGGGAAGGGGAGCCGTGGGGGGTGATGGCCGAGATCCAGGAGAGCACGGGCGCGCCTTGGGTCAGGGGAGGGCTGGGGAGGTGGGTTTGGGGTGTGAACGTGCTTTGACGTTACGTGCGTTTCAGACGTGCCTTGATCCGGGGTTTCAGAGAGAGGAGCCACGTGTAACTCCGAGGGCTTTGTACGAGGGACTTGGAAGGACAGGGCTGCCGCTAACCCCTAAGGGGAAGGGCCCCGGAGGGAGGAGGAGTGCGTTTGGGGATGAGGATCCGGGGGGTGCGGTTCTGGGCGTGCGGGTGTTGGGAAGTGACGCGCATCTGTACGTAGCAGGCCGAATTTAAAAGCACGGGGCCGGCTCACCAGGAGCGTGGGTGTAGGAAGAACAGAAGTCCTTACGCTGAGTCCCAGGAGACTCCAATATCAGTACGTTTGTGGAGATGAGGAGCAACCTCTTGGGTGGAGTGCCAGGATATTTTTATTAAGAGAAGAGCCATTTTTCAACCTCATATTTTACCGGGTTCCAAAAGGTGTATTGTGAAAGGATGGGATTTTGTGTTGTGTTTAACGTTTGATCCACTAAAGTAATTTACTTATTTTGTACTTGCAAAATACATTTTGGCAAAGAGGAGTGCTTTTAGGTGTTTTGTAACTCAGTAAGAAAGCGCTCAATACTTGTTTGGTTCCTTATAACCAGCTGGGAGATCACAGTAAGTGATTATCACAAGATCGATGACCAAAATGAGCCTCCTGTGACAAACAGCAACGTTAGGTGAACGATATACAATCTTCTGAAGCAAATATAAAACAAATAAAATTTTTGTCTTTTTCTTTTATTTTTTTTAAAGATTTGCTTATATGAGAGAGAGAGGGAGAGAGAGCAGGGCTCCCATACACCCAAGGTGGGGAGAGGGGAAGCAGACTCCCCGCTGAATGTGGAGCCCAAGGCGGGGCTGGATCTCCTGACTCTGAGATCATGACCTGGCACCCCGTCCTAAACTTTTATAGTCTGGCTTTATGTCAGCGGGCGTTGGAATTATTAAAACAAATCTTTGAAGATTACAGAAAAGCTCTTTATCCTACCTGGTATATACACATAGGGAAAAAAACTGCATTAGGACAAGGTGAAAATAAATATAGATTCAGTTTAAATAAATGTACATATTCACTACCTTTTCTTATCTATTTAAGTACAGATAAAGTCTCGTGTTCTTCATTCTGAAAAGCACACCTGTCAGTACTTCATGTTCTTAATATCTCTGCTATTGGACTTATGGCCTCTGGCTTCAACAATTTTAACAAGGCAGAATTAAAGATATTTGAAGTTTTCAATTATGCCCACATCACCAAACTCCCAAGTACTGAATGTCC